TAGCGCGTAGCGCGGAAAAAGTGATTACTTGAAATCGATATGGGGAACAGGGGCGGCCGTAGACATTTTACTTGATACACTAAGCCAATTTAATAATATTTGGGCTTGATTCCAGGTGTTCCAACTTCCTGTGGTAGTACCCAATCCTACTATAGCTTCAGTTGGCAACCTGGAATCAAGCCCAAATATTATTAAATTGGCTTAGTGTATCAAGTAAAATGTCTCCGTGAAGTCCAAGCCCTGCACATATTTGTTGGTATAGGTTCATATATTATCTTAAACATCAGCATTGGCTAGATAGAAGAGGTAAATAATTTTGATTTCAGGGACTGGCCCTAGAGTAACAAAATATTTTCAATATATATATTTTTTTATATCTTGATAAATACTCGGGAGGGGGTGGGTGGGAGGGGAATTGTCTCTGATTTCGAAGAAGTAATTTAATAAGACGAGATAGTCGCATTAGAAAGCAAAACCGTTTATTTTACGTCAGAAAATTTTAATCTGGAACGTCAGAAATGTAGTCTGGAATATCTGAAAAATGGGTTATAAAGACGGAAAGTCGTCTGGAATATCTGAAAAATGGGTTATAAAGACGGAAAGTCGTCTGGAATATCTGAAAAATGGGTTATAAAGACGGAAAGTCGTCTGGAATATCTGAAAAATGGGTTATAAAGACGGAAAGTCGTCTGGAATATCTGAAAAATGGGTTATAAAGACGGAAAGTCGTCTGGAATATCTGAAAAATGGGTTATAAAGACGGAAAGTCGTCTGGAATATCTGAAAAATGGGTTATAAAGACAGAAAGTCGTCTGGAATATCTGAAAAATGGGTTATAAAGGCGGAAAGTCGTCTGCAACGTCGATAAGCTTGCTTTAGTATACGTTGCAAAGTTGTCTGAAAAGGCAAAAAGCTTGGCGTCTAGAAGCCTGCCAGAGTCGCGTGGGTAGCGCTCTCCGCGGTGCTCCAGACCCAACACAGCCCCACTGATGCCGTTCTGCTGGTGAGGGCGCCACTCACGCCTAGCCTACATGGTAAGCGAGGCGTAGAGAAGTCTGAAAATAGTTTCCAAGATAGGAAGTCAATGCTGAAAGACGAAAATCAGATGGGAATTGAATGTGAAGCTAGACGGGAATGTTGTAAATGAAGGGATAGAAGACTTCATCAAACGTGTCAATCAAATGCAAAAATCGAAAAGCGGAAATGTAATTAGCATGATGGTCGACTTTATCACTTTTCGTTGTTAACGAATAACAGGAAAATTGCTTTCAAGTTGTTGGGTGGGGCACAGTCCCTCCATTTTGGAGGGACAATGGGATTTTGAAGTCAGGAGATTTGCCAGGAATTTTTGGAGAACTTTATGGAAAAGTTGTTGTCCAACATATAGTTTGTATTGACGAGAAAGTTGTTTGCAAAGTTTATTTTGTTAAAGTTCTGTCCATTATTTTGATTACAAAGATTTGAAGTTGTCGGAGAAAGCATAAAACTTGTCTAGGACAATGGAAAGATTGCATGGGAAATCCAAAATATATGTAGTTTGTGTAGTTAAAGTCGACTACAAAGGTGAAAAATATATGGAAATAAATATATAATAATTTATTGCAAGGATTTGATAAGATTATTACTTGTATCCCAACTACCCTGGTTTTCGGCCAAGCGAAAATAGAATACTCGCAAAGTATATTAAAGCAATTGAATATGTTCGAAACACCTATAATAAAAGTGATTTCCACTAAAAATTGCGAATATTATATTAGTGTCGAGTGAGAGCGCCACTAGCGTCTAAACTAGGTTATTTGTAATATTATGGTCTGTATGACGTCACGAGCAGGCGTGGTGAAACTTCAATATGGCTGACGGTTACCAGTCAGTGAACTTTGTGAATATCTCGCCGATGAGTGAAGCCAGTTTATTTGACGCCCGTTGGGGATAGCCCCTCTTCAATGAACCAGATACCACCTTGAAAGACTGTGGATGTCGTTTCCTGGATGATATAGTGATTCAAACGCTGAAACACTTCTAATTTTAGTAGATACTGCGCTCCGTTGTGGTGGCCGACTTGTGGGTGCGCTGCCGTGCAGTGAGCCGAGTTGACGAGAAGGGTACTCTTTTTTTTTTCTGAAAGAGGATTTCTTGTTGCCCTCGCACAATGTCTTTCTTTTTCAAAAAAATCTTTAAGCTGAGCACCGACAAGAAAGGACCAAAAGTCTACAAGAATATCAAACGTGATGTAGATCCTTACTTGAATTGGGATATTATCAGCGAGATTGGCGATGGTGCGTTTGGAAAAGTTTACAAGGTACGTACACCCAGGGTAATGGTACACGCAGTTGACTTGCCCCATTTCTTACATTCCTACTTGTTTGTGGTTGGAATTATATTTCTGTATTTGTGAGAACAGCAACTTCTCTTTCATCATAACTCTAATGTGATATGACGACATTTATTCATGTCCACAGCCTTGAAATTGAGTACCGGGAATAAGCAGTCACTAGAAGTTGTTGTTTACATTTTAAAATGTCAGATACTGATATAATTGACCCCTCCTATACAACGTCTATTCTGTGGACCATTTATAACTAACCCCAGACGTTGGTGACACTTGTTATGCTAATAATTCCGCTGATAACACGATCCTATTGTCAATTGGCGTGATGATGTACGGCACATTGTAATCATTGATTTTCCACATTCAGAATTTCGCTCTTGACATATTCATTGATAATTTGTATGGATCATGTTTTGAAAGAATATAATACCGTAGTCAAATGGTATAGCACTAAAATTCAAATAGTCCATACTGAAGAGGTCACACGCAAATATGAATTTTATAGAACTTTGATAAATACTAAACCAAAATGGTAAAACGATTGATACTTGTACATAAACTAAACGAAAATTGTTCAAATCAAAGCATAACCTGTTCTACTGTTTACTTCTTGCCTTCTGGGTAGTTTTTCATTGACACATGCACCTTGTCGAGTATGCTAATGATAGCAGTACCTTGAGTCTCTATTTTAACTCTTTATCATCAGGGAAATGTTATTACTTTAATAATAAAAAGAAAAACTTTATGGTATTTCTTGTACACCTTCCAGTAAAAATTTATTTCACTTAATTAGAGTAGTAAAAATCAAAACGAAGAGATTAAAATCTTTGAAATATCGTTATTTAGGTCAACAGGTAGGGGTCAAAGTGTAAGGTTACTTTAGTTCTTCACATAGTTGTATTGTGTGTGTGTATAACTTACAAGTGGGTGGGTTGATCTTGTGCACTGCGCTTCACTCTAGATATTCTATTGTCATTTGTTTAATGGTGGTTTCTCTGAGTTTCTGTAAATATTCTAGTTATCTTCGCAGTCTACTGAATCTGAGATCTCTGTTTACTGGTTTGAAAACAAATTACTATTACAGTTTGGTATATTATGTAATTTCTAGAAATCAGGTGAAACATATTTCTTAGCTATACACTACAGGAAACGCATATCTGCCTGCTTATATAATAGTATACTTCATCAACGTACTTTCCCCACCTGGTTCAGATTGGTATTTGCACTATGTGCTGGCAGTAGCAATATGATATTTGCTTTGCTTTACATATTGTAATAGTTTTTACAGTGTATGATATAGTCAAGTGCCCTCTCTCTGAAGTAGCTTAAGTTAGAATTATTCATAGATTAAGATATGGCAGGACTGGGTCAAGTAGCCTCTCTATGAAAGGGGGTGGGGCGAGAATTATTTGTAATTTTTATGATGTATTCACTGTTACTTGTAGAGATCCCATTAGTTTCTGATAAACATTGTAGGTGTTTAAAGTAAATATACTACCACTGTTGATTGTAGAGATCCCATTAGTTTCTGATAAGCAGTGAAGGCTATATACTGCCAATATTATCTTCCCTTTCTTTTACCTTGACCTCTTACCTCAATGGTAGAATAAGTAAAACTTGAAGGGTTGGGTAGACTTTCTTTCATTTTACTACCTTCTCATTTGACCCACCCTTTAGTAATCAGCATGCAATTCACTGGACTTGAAGTAACATGCTTCTTAGAAAGTGTGTCCTTGTCCTAAAGCTTAGTAGCAAATATTTAATACTTACCATATACCAGATGGTTATGAGTTATGTACAGTTTCTATTTGAATAAATATTTGTATGGGTGGGTGGGTGGATGTGTGTGCTTCAGAATTATCACAAAGGTTATGTCTAATTGTGTGGAAATATACAGGTGAGCTACCATAGCATAGAATGGCCTGAGGATATGTTCTTTTAAAATTGCCAGCAAAGTTCAGGTACACATTGAAATGGCAGTGTCTTAAATTAGATACCATGATGATTTATAGGACATCACAGTGTAGGTAATCCGTTGAACAGGATCTTCATTTAGTGAAACCAAATGTTCCAGTTGTTTCATCTTTTAAAGCCATATATATGGTTAGAATTTAATGGCTTAATTTATGTCTGAGATTACCGGTATATAGTTTGAACTGCCCTGCAGTTTCAGTTATATGTTTTGGTGTTCTTTGGCTATTGTATGCCAGGCATGTTCATGTTGAATCCTCTCAAAATATTCATACTTAATTGGAAAGTCTCTATGGGCCACATTTATTTTCAGAGCACACCATAGTTTATGTTTTATACATCTGTGTCTGAATATCTAATATCCAATATTATTGTAATGCCTGGCATTAGTGCCAATTACTCAATTATGTTAGATTAGCTAGGATTTCCTTCAGGGACACAGTTATCAGCTGACCTCGTATATTTTCTCTAAATACCATCATATATAAATGGTTGTAAAATTATATTTCAAGCATCACTGTTTGATTACAAATTTTGTGTGGTTAACAGATACTCTGGTCACACACCTTTCCTACTACATGTACCATCATTATTAATATTTCAAGTGCTCGTTAATGTAAAAATGTATTGTATTTTGGAAATAAAACATATACTGAAGAATAAATAGGGTCATGTCACTGCAATATGCAGGTTCAATATTCCAATAACAACTTATTTACTGATACTTTTTTAAAAAATATATTAGTATTTTATGTTCCTTGGATGGTTGTTAGATTTCAAGTCAGGATTTGATTTGAACAGTTTGATTGTGTGCCTGGACCTTTGTGTCTAGAGATGAACAAAAAATGAATAGTAATAATCTTTAGAAGTTCTGATAAGGATACCACAAAGCTTAGCATGGGCTAAAAAACACTAATTACAGATTAAATCTGGCCCATTTTAAGACCCGGTTCAGATCCCTAGCACAAGCTAAGAAAGTTTACGTGAACACTTAGCTTGAGCCAAGCACCCAAAATGCCATTGTATTCAATGTTCATTTTGAAGATTCACTATTATATTCATAACTATTCATTTCAGTATGACATTTCCGAAATGACAGTCAATTAAGAGATATTTTTCTTGAGAAAAAATGAACTAACGAGACTTCCTGTTATTCTGCAATCTGATCTTTCTGTATTTGTTTTAGTATTGTTTTATAACTGTAGAACTAAAATGTATACTACCTACTGTACTGAGTAATCACAGTTAAAATGACCGAAGATTTTTGTATATTCGTAACATGATTGGGCGAACCTTATCCCATGTTCATCATGATTTTGGTGTCTCATCTCTGATTTCTACAACCGTAGAAACAATTACGGTATACTATAAAGGTATTTTCTAATTATTTTGATACTGTTCCTTTCATGTATCACACGGAAACAAAAAAATCACGCCTGAGTGGAAAGCTGTGTCATGAGATTGGCATGCAGATGGAAATTAACAACTGATGTTGTTTTTTTGTGTGCTACAAAGGTTTTGGTACATGTACTCGCTTGGCATACCTGTAGTTAGTTCATCCATACATTGTATGTAGAGCTATGCTGTTATACTAGGCTGCTTTTTGATTACTTGACCTATGATCCAAATAGACCAGTCATAAAAGTTACAGCCTTGAAACCAGTGTAGTATGTCATCAATGTCAGGGTGGAACAAGATTGGTGTTGTGTTGCCTGCTCATAAATTAGTTATGAAAACTAGGACATGGTTGAAGGAATACACCTGATGTGTGTCCAGCATTGACCATTAATTCTGTCTATATTATTATACATGTAACATAGTGACTAGTTTAGCTGACCACTGGCCTTGCGATTCCTGTGGCAAAGTTGAAATCACAGGTATTCACCCTGTGGTATTAGCACTGCTCTGATGAGATAGAAATGTTGAACAATTACCCCCCCCCCCCCCCCCACATTATTAGAAATACATGTAGCCCCAGAAGTTAGGCATAGCGGGCCATACTTTTCCCATGTATTGAGCATGCTTTGTGGTGTTGTTGTGACAGCCATGGCTTCATGTATTAAATACCTGTGGACTGAATGACAACTGCCATACATTCCTTCCTTTACCATGATGGGCCTAAAATTGAAAGCTGTCAATCTAGGCTATTGTACTGTAGTATTGTGATTTACACTATTGTCTTATTTCAAACTTTACTTTCCATTCCTACTGTCATCTACTTCATATGTACATGTAATATCTTTCCCATACCTATTTGGTATTTCATTAGCAGGTCTTTATTAATGCTAAGATATTCTGCTATGTAAAAGTTTGTTATTCAGAATAAGTACACTGTGGACTGACCCCTGGTTCTCTATTTTGCTTTCGTTGATTTAAACAAAGTAGTCACTCATCACATTTTAATTACAATCTGGCCAGTCAGGTCTTGCACCATGAACCCTATTAAAATAAATGTAAATTTCCACCTGCTGTTTTCAGCAGGTGGAATTGTAATATTATTCTATGTCTATTGTCTAAAAGGTGAATCTCATATCTGGATATATTTACAACTTGCAACTGCTCTAGTCTGTCTCAGTCTGTTCCACTGGTATCTCAAGATTGACTAACTGAGTGATTTACATATCTAATTAGGAGAGTTACCGTAAAATCTGTATTAGAAGCCGCATCCCTAATAGAAGCCGCACCCATTCTTTTTGAACAACTGAGACCTAAAAATTCACCGTTTCTCATATGTGTAGATGCTCTAATAGAAGCCGCATCCCCTCTGTTGCATTGTACCATTTTATTAGAAGCCGCGGCTTTTAATACAGATTTTACAGTATTTGAACTGCTCTGTGCATATTAATAGTTAATTCCTAACTGCAATGAAATTGATACTTCCCAGAGGGATTGTCAAATTTCTTGGAACTACCTTACATACCTGTATGTTTGTATTTCCTGTACAGAAATGTATTTTACCAGTGTTGTTGTTATGACGTACAACTATATATTTTTCAATA